GCTACTCCCCCCCCCCCCCCCCCCCCCCCACCTCTCCCCTAACTAGTCCGAGGGTCAAATATGGCCGACCCACTTGAATACTTCCCCACTGGATATCTATTCAGTGTCTATTAGTGGATTAATTAGGCAGCAAGATTTGCAGTGGGTCACCATATTTGACCCTCGAACTAGTTGGTCCCCTTTTCTGAATCGAGCCTTATAAGACAAGTTTAAAACCCAGCTATTTCTCGTCTGGCCCCACTCAGCATGTAATACCTTTATTTCGCTACTGATTGTCAACTGTGATTTTTGTCTATTATATAGAGTTACCAAATAAGAAAGGAAAAATGCCAAAGGCATTGCTATCACTAAGCAGTGTTATGAATTTGAAATTTATTTAATTTGTTAACAAATATTATGTATTATAGGCCCTTAATTAATTCTTGATGAGTATTTATTGGTTGTGACAATGCACCCTTATTTCAACTGAGTATATATTTATAATTTCATTTCAGATGAATATTTATATATGGTCTTCAGATATGCTTTATACAGAGGAATTAAAATACAATAGTTAATGATTGATAATCTGGATTTTGATATTTTGTATATTGTCATGCTCATGTGACCTGTTGTGATTTCCCAGATAGCATGCATACGTTGGGCCAACGTTGGCCCAACGTTTCCTTGGTTGACCGTGCAACGTTGGCCCAACGTTGGGTTTCCATCTAAGTGCTCACTTTGGCCAACGGTTGGCTGAACGTCTTTTTAATGCCAACGCATTGCCAACGTATTCCCAACCAAACTGCGTTGGCCCTACATTGGGCCAACTAATAACCAACATTGGTCCAACAATTACCCAACCTGTAACCAACAGTGTATTTACGTTGGTCCTACTAATAACCAACATCAGTCCAACGATTACCCAACCAAACTGCGTTGGCCCTACTTTGGGCCAACTAATAACCAACATTGGTCCAACAATTACCCAACCTGTAACCAACAGTGCAATTACGTTGGTTCTACTAATAACCAACATCAGTCCAACAATTACCCAACCTCAAACCAACAATGTATCCGCGTTGGCCCAACCGTNCCCATCGTATTACCTGGTTCGACCTAAATTTGCAGGGATTCTTGCTGAATTGCATTCAGTGTAAACTATAGTGACTTAAATGTCAGGCGTGCCTACTTAAGTAACTAGGGGGTAATTAATGATAGTCAAAGACTCAGGAGGACGTGCCAGACAATTTAGCTGACTATACTGAAAGCACTTCAGCAAGATGCCCCACAGAGTTAGATCGATCCAGCTAGTACTATGGGTTTATGGGAATGCAGTCATAGCGACTGTAACACTGTGAATGGGTTAATTAAAAGAATGGTAGTAAATGGGATTAAAACCTATTTGAGTAGGTTGAATAAAACTGATGAAATCAACTTACTGCCTGACCATACCTGCAGTATATATACTGTAGTTAACAAACATACAGTACTCCTTATAATGCACTGTGCATTTTCTCTACCAAATTCCTGTTAAACATAACATTAACTGTGGATTTAAGACTATATTTTTCTGTTTTCTATTTGGTTATTTGAGTATTAGATACTATTTTTACTTACTATGGCTAACTCCACTTGAGATTTACTGTATGTGATGGATCTGATTGGTATTACATGAAGTAATATTATATTACGATTATTTTGTATTTTTCCCTAATTTTTTGAAGTGTGGAAGTTCAATTTAATTTTTTGAGTTTTCTAATGTGAGCTTTATACTGTTTTCACTGTAACAGTTACATAGTCTTTTCAAAATAAACTTAACTTTTTATCTCTGTACAGACTGAATGAAATTAACTGACATTCAATAAAATGCTGGTTTTGAGAGGACTTGTGAAAATTTATTAATTTTTTTTTTCTCTTTCAAACACTTTTTAAAAAATTTTAATAAAAACTTTTTAAAACACTTTTTTATTTTAAATAAAAAAACAATAAACATTATTTAAAGAGGGTAAATTATGTTAAATACACGGCCCCCTGGGTGATTAGAACAAGATCGATACAGTGTTGATGAATAAAATTCAAATATTAATTAAAATAAAGACATGAAATAACAAATTTATGCGTTTTCTGATTTTTGTAATTTTGCCTTTTGTTTCTTTTATTTTAATCGAATTGTTGAAAAACTTTAAAAATTACTTGTAAAGAAATCAAACGTTGTGTCTTGATGATGAGAAAGCGCTCTCGATCTTCAGCAGTGAAGGAAGGAAATTTACAATGTTTACGAATGGCGCCGGCGGAATAGAATTTTAGCAAGTTAACGTTCAATTTTATTTTCAGATCTATGGTTAAGCTGTTGTACCTGGGAATCCCAGTGATAGCAACGGTAAGGAATAACGCCGAGAACACGACGAGTCGAAGTGCTAGTCTAAATCTTTTCTCTAAGT